CCCCCGGCTGGGACAGGAGAGCTGGGGGGCACAGGCGCAGCCCGGACCCGCCGCACATCAGCTGTCCGTGCTAAAGCACACCCGAGCCGGGGACAGCGCTCCGCCCCGAGGAGACAGCTTCTAAGTTACAGCAAAAGTTTACTCCTGTCACCCAGTGTTTGGTGGGAACCGCAAGTTTAACTTCCCCAGTAACCCCCGGCGGTATCCCACGGAGCAGTCATACCCTGGTCTGTCCGCATCGATATCGCAAGCTACTATGGAAAACGAATCGGACTTTTAAAAACTAAGCTCCGATTGAGTTAACAACTTCAGCACACTGAGCAGAAAAATCTGCGTATTCACAAGCGATACGGCAGTACCTGGCTCCGTTTGTGTGCGTGTTTAGCTTCAGGGGAGCTGAGCACAGAGCCAGAATGGAAAATAAGATTCTGTTGCCGGATCTACAACAGCTTTTCTATTCTGTATTTTGTTTAGTAGTTTAATTTCTGTTTCTCAGCTCCTCGGTTATAAAGTGGAAACACAACAATAAATAACTCAAAATGTTATGAGGTAAAAGCCATTCATACTTGCAAGCTGTCTGGAATTAATGTGAAAAATGTAAGAAACTATTCAAAAGTACTTAAAACATTCAAAGCTTTCTCTATATTACCTCTTATATCATAGAATTAATATATATTTTGAGGGACACGGTGTTGACTTACAGCCCACAGGATATAGAAATGAGATGGTGAAGAAGATTTCCCTAGGAAAATATTTTACACAGCTGCTGCTCAAAGAGCTGTTTACTTTATTTCATTATGTATATACGTGTGTGTGTGTGTAAAAAACTGTGAAGAGTTCACTTGAAGAATTCTTGGCAACAAAAAGCAAACTGTTCTAGCTCTTTCCAAAGCAAAATTAAACAAACCACCAGCCCCCCTGCGAAGAAATGAGCAATCATGTCTTGCCCAATTTTTTGCTTCCCCTTAGTTCTCCAGGCGATAGCTTCAAACTCTGCTCTATGATGTGGCCAAAACACATAATGCTGTGTCACCCCTGTAAAATAGAGAGTGAGCTAACCATTGTATAAACTAGGATAGTCTGAGGTTGCTTGGGGCCCTCTTCCCAGTTTCTCTTAAAAACAGAAGCCAAAAAAAAAAAGATGGTAGACAAAAAAGTAGATCGTTGAAACAAAGGGAGTAAGCAGGACAGAGGACCTCGAGGAAGTTCACGTTGCTTCTGTAAACCTGAGTGACTCAAGGAAAACAACACAAACAGCTTGCAACTGTCTGAAGTAAAACCTGAGGACTGAATTCTGGTACTCTGATTTATGTCAGCTCATAAGTTACGGCCCACCTAGTCTGACTGAAGGCAGTGTGATTGCTTGTGAAAACAAGTAGTAAATACAATCCAAATCTGGTCTGAAATTGTTTTTAAGGCAACTTTCAACTCCTGGTATTTTCAGAAGCGTCAGCTTGCTTTGTTTGAAAGTGCAGATATACTTCTTACCAACACTAGAAGCAAATCTAGCTATAATTAAATATTCACCTGCTTTTCTGTCAAAGTGCTGTCTTACCAGCATCTGTTCATGTTGTCTTGTCTTATAATTCAAAAGAGAAAACACTTTCAAGAAGCTTTTTATTTTCATCTGGTTTCAAGTTGCTTTGCCTCTGTTTTTAGCACTGTCAACATCCTTCTCTCTGTATTGTGTGCTTTCCCTCTTTCTCCTTTTCTCTCTGTCTTCGCCCCCAGCAACAGGGATCAACTATGTCTAGTAAATAGTCCTATAACTATTGGAAAGCAGTTAAAAAATTCAAATGAGCAACTAACGAAACTTGGTCTAGTTTACAGACATTCTGAAACATTTTTAATTAGCTGATCTTTAATTAATATTCCCTGCTATGATGACACCATTAATTTTCTCCCATGTGACTTGAGCTTTCTTTATAAAATGGAATCCTATAAATTGGTAACCTAATTGTTTTTTTTAAGCCAAAAAGAAAAATATAGATGTCTGTCTTACTTTTTTTTGCCAATACTGTAATTTCTTTCCCCAATATGAAGTAATGACACCACGGTCCCCCAACAGCTGCAATGCTTGTGTACAATTCACACTCATAAAAGTGTAATCTTGGAACAAATCAATCTTTCATAGACACTTTGAAAATCCTGAATCAGGGAAAGCAGGGAAACTCTTTTAAAGTTTTAAGCCACTAGTCAGTTGCTTATAGAAACATCCTAAATTAGTACCAACTAAGAGCTACTGCTGATTGGGATTGAGGCTGAGGGACTGAATCAAGCCTTGATGCAACTGCTTTCTAGACACATCTCACTCAGTAAGGTCTTTGAGCAGTTCATATAAACTCTCAGGTAGAGTCCAAAAGCATTTATTTTACCAGCAAAAAACTCCCAATTTTATGCCTTCTTGAAAAACTGTCATAACAAACTTTCCTGCTGTACATCTCTTTTTATAGGTGCTTGTGATTTGGGGGAAAAGCTCAGGAACATTCAAAATGCTGGTCTGACCTTTATTCTTCTCTCAAGCTAAGAGTGTTTCAATGAGTGAGATTTCAAAATCTGAATGAGATTTCAAATGACTCCTTGAATGCCCAAAGCAAAAACATCACCACAGGGAAAAGACTGGCTTGAAAGTAAATGCCAAAGGAGAGAGAACTTTCTAAGTCTGCCCTTAGTAGGTACAGGCTGGGGGGACATAGCACGTTTTAAGAACAGGAAAACGTCATCTTCTGGATCTTTTTTGACTCATTTAATTACCACATCTGTACTTATCCTTGCACCACTGTAGCCCTTTCTTCCTTTCTTGCTTGTTTCCTTCCTTCCAAACAGTACGTGACTCAAGATTTTTGCCTTGATTAATTTATCCTACATGATGCATGGCCACTAACCTCCTTGTTTCATTTTGTTTATTGAAAAGGTTGTAATGAGAATGAGGCAGATCACCTGGACAGAGACCAGCAGCCTTATCCCCCATCCCAGAAGACAAAGCGCATGCGCACCTCCTTCAAACACCACCAGCTTCGTACCATGAAGTCCTACTTTGCTATCAACCACAACCCAGATGCCAAGGACCTCAAGCAGCTTGCCCAGAAAACAGGCCTGACCAAGAGAGTTCTGCAGGTAAGAAGCCACATCCCAGGCTTGACAGAATTTTCCCCCACCCCTGCCAGTCAATAGAATTTCCCTTACGTGTAACAATAGCGATATATGTAGAAATCCTTTTGTTAGGTGTGTCCCTAGTGGGTGTTCAGAGGGGTGTGGTATTACATGGCAGGAGTGCTGTATACCCTACCACCCCAAGGCAGACAAATACTAAAATGGGATTTGTAGTTTGTTGCATCCTCAATATGAGGAAACTGTCTCCAGAGTCTACCAGCCCAGTAGATATCCTGGGACCTGTAGTCTCTCTGTGGTGACCTTACTAAGGGTAGAGGTAGCAAACCTACTGATTTTATAAACACTGGGTGAAGTCTTTGGGCTCCCCTGAAACTGTTAATGTGACCCCTCAGTGAGCAGATCCCCTGATATGTAGGAAGGAAGCTTTGAACAATATGATCCTCCAGGAACAGCTGGCTCCCTCTCTCAATGCCTGTTAGACAACTGCTATTATTAAGGGCCTATGGAATAAAAAGCCACTTGCCTGTGAAGGACAGCCTAGCAAATTACATTAAAAAAATCCCTATACAGTGAAGTTAAAGCAAGGCGTTTATTATATGCAGAGTGCCAAAGAAGGGCAGTGATCGAGGTAGAAGGAGAATCTATTAGCAGCAATTCCTTGTCCATGTTACATATCACCTGAAACATTTTTAGTGAACCTTGCACAACAGAAAGACTAGGTGACCCATATCAACAATCCTTATGATAGGGATGGTGTAACTACCCCTCCTTCCTCTTCAGTCTTTTAAAATTATCAAGACAAACTTTCAGCCTTGGCAAAAATCTGCTCATTCACCCTTTGTCTCAATCTTTACCATGTGTCCTGACCCCAAACCTACCCAACCCAAGGGTACACTACATGTCCAATCAAAAACTTTGCTTTTCTCGGGTAAGTGAGCAAGCAGATTTTTCTTAAGGCTGCTCTGTGAGGTCTGCACACTGGGCTGCAATGTCATAGTGAACAACCGTAGCGCTGGGCCTTGTATTCAGGGTCCTGCCTGTGTGAGTCGGTAACACCAGTAGCAAATGAAGCCGTAGAGTGACTTAGTCAATTTGCCACACAAAAGCAAGCATCAAAAAATGACTTAAAAGCAAGAACAAAGACAAAAATAAGCAAAACAAAACAAGCATCGGTAAAGAAATCAATTGGGATTGGTTTGCAGGTTTGGTTTCAAAACGCAAGAGCCAAATTCAGAAGGAACCTTTTGCGGCAGGAGAATGGGGGTGTCGATAAAGCTGATGGCACCTCACTTCCGGCACCGCCCTCAGCAGACAGCGGCGCACTCACTCCACCCGGCACTGCGACCACTTTAACAGACCTGACCAATCCCACTATCACTGTAGTGACATCAGTGCCCTCTAACTGGGACAGCCACGAATCCGGGAGCCCCTCACAAACTACCTTAACGAACCTTTTCTAACATTTCAGTTTTTTTTTTTTTAATTCTTACTCTTCTTCTTTATTATTATTATAATTATTATTTTTATTATTTTCAAGCCTTTTTTTTTAAAAAAAGAATAACAAACCCACAAAACATTTGGGAAAATAAACAGCTTGATGTGTAGCATCTGCGGCCACTTGGCAAATGAGTTTGAAGTAACCTGTTGCTATAATAAATGAACATTTATTGTTGTTAAATTGTACTCAAATTTTAAAAATTCATTAAATAACTGAAGAGAAGGTTATGAATCACTCTAATAAGTGCCTCTTAAAATTGTATGTTACTTATTTCCAGAACCTTGACAAAAATTATTACTATCCCCCCCAAAAAAAGAAGATTCTTTTCCCTCCTTGATAACCAGATAAAAATCAGTTTAATTATAGCCAAAATAATGCTGCTTCAGGATTGTATGTTCACTTACAGCGTTTAAGAACCCCCAGTTTAATTTTATTTTATAATGCATCTAAAAGTTTTGTACAATTTATTTTTCAAATGTTGAAAAATGAATACAAAATGAATTAAACTAATCATTGAAATAGTCAGACTGCAAGTGCCAGTGGTTTTTGTAATGCATTAGTCACAAGCCTGGTCCTCCCTGAGCACTGGGGAGTCTCACTGGGATAGCTAAACGCTCCTCTGCCAGTTCTTCACCCAGCTGGGGTGTCCATGGCCACCACTGAAGGCTGTGCCTGGACGGAGGGCTTGGAGAGAGAGACCTGGTGATGAGAGTGCATGTGGGTGAGGATGGCAGGATCAGGCTGTTTGTCTCCAAATTTGTGTCCTGTACATTAAGGAGGCAAGGTCCAGAAAGCACCTTCCAGAATGAGCTCATTCCTATAAGGATATTACTAAAGTAATAACAACAGAATAACAACTGAAGTGAGGAGTCCTACTGATCTGAAGTATTACACAGGGAGGGTTTTACATTTTTGACTGTCAAGCTGCTCTGATTTGGAATTTAAAAAAAAAAATGTGTGGTTCATTACATGGCCTTGATACTGTACAATTAAAGCAAAGAGGAGGTTGCCCAGCTACTTCAGTGAGCACAAAAATAATTTCCAAGAAGATGCATGCATGTGTGCTATTAAAACGAGTTCGTCATAAATCTTTTTTTTTGGGGGGGGAAATGGAAATAAGCAAAATATAATTTATTAAGATGTTTAAGGAAAATTATTTCAGTATAATTTATTCATTACTATTTTTAATTTACTTTAGAGGTTTCCTGAGATTGTATCAGATGCTTTGTTTAACACACGAACTTAAAATCTCTATTTCATTAATATCTCTAACATATACTTTAATTTTTTAACTTTGTATAAAAGAAAAAAATGTTAGCAAAAATTCTTGCAAAAATTCTTACAAAAATGGGAATTGGCAGTGAATAATTTTAAAGCAGATAAACTCAGAAGCCTTGTGGATGCCGATCTGAATACATTTCTTAGTTTACAATAGTGATCTTTCTTTTTTTAATTTTATTTAAGCTAAAAGTCTGAATGGTCTGGGCAGTGGTGAATGTTCATCTGTATCCTTTTATTGTAGTTGAACACCAATTAGATTGTGGAGAGTCTCAGAAACAAATACAAACAAAAAACCAGTCAAGATCTATGTCTTGCTTTTAGTGGATTGTTAAGAATAACTTTGCACATATACCCCACTTTTTAGACACCATCAAATCTCTTTTTTGGTGGTCAAAGTGGCTATTTAATATATTTTAAAGGTGTCCTTTTTGGCTGTATAAATGTGTGGTTACATATTGACAGTTCACTGCCCACATTAAAGTGCATTATTGTAATTTTTGCTCAGGGTTTTTAGAAAATTAGCACAGAAAAGTAGCTTATTTTTAAAAAAAAAAGATGATGGAAGAGAGGTTAACACTGTAATAGAAGAAAGGTGTGTTTGCCATTATATATTTAGCAAGTATGGTTATCATCTTCTACGGATATTAAATCTTGACTTTTCCTATTTCTATTACCTTATGGGCATTTACCACTAACCAGACCAAACGACCTTGGTAAGGCTGAGATCTTTATTAATACACTTTTACAGGTAAAAATATTGATACTTATAAATTTTGTTCTTTGACAGAACAATATATGGTACTAGAGATCTACTTTATTAAGTAGACTAATTAAAACTCAGTTCTACTACGTGCCTTATGATATACCTTGGGAGTAAGTTTGTGAAAAATCAGGATATATGTGTTGTTTGTTAAATTAACTGTTTTAAGCCCTTTTGACACCTCACTAGTTTTGTACTGTTTTACCTCTTATTTCTGAAACTCTTTTTATGGTGTATCCTGTTAGAGGGGACAAACATGTCATAGAAAGCAGTTGTGCACTCTTTCAGATATAGTTGATAAATCCAATAATCTTATATATTGAGCTTCGTGTTTATAGTACAGTAAGTGGTCTAGCAAAATTGTCCATGTTTCTTTGTCTATTGATAAATGCATTGTATAGAAACTATTTCCCCTAAATATTTATGGACCAAACAATTGTGATATATCCTATTAAATTTGTGTGAATAAACCATTTTGAATCTAAGGAGTTTTATTTCCCATCAGTTGTTTTTTTTTTTTTTTTTTTTTTTTTTTTAAATTTAAAGTCTACATATACCAGTGTGTCTCTTTGCTTTTACGGTACCTGTGAGCAATTGGTATTAAACATGGAAACACAGCCTTTAAAATACTTTAAAATATGGTTCCTTCTTAGGTATTCAATTTCTTCACATTCAATGTATATGCTACTGCTGGCGCAATTTAGATTTTAGTGTTTTAACCCTCTTTTTTGAACATGCAAAGTAATGCCCCACTGATTTGATACTGAAACCCTGTCTTAGACTTCTAAAAAAGCCAGAAAACTAGCAGCTAAAGTAATTGCATGACAAATATAACCTAAATAATATGATTAAATGAATCAAGATTTAATGCTAGGTGTATTGAACACAAAATAGAATTGCAGACCCCGAAAAGCCAGGTTGCTCTGTAGTTTAATAAATTGTCACTATGATTTCTTTCAGGGAGAACAAATCATGGGGCATTACAGCCAAACATCCCGACGTTTGAAAATTCCCTAAAGTATTAAAAGAAGGGGAAAAGTTTGATCGGAAATCCACTGCAGTGAAGACAAAGACAATATTAGGTTATGATAATCATACATTTAAAAATCTCTTGAGCCAAAAAATAAAAATAAAAGACTTGATGTCATTTCCTGAATGTTAACAAAACATATGTTATTTTATGGTGTCTAATTAACAGAACTGAAGGCTTCAAAAATTGTGTGGTATTAAAAACAAATTTAGAGAAACTATGTATAAAACCAGAGCAACCTGGCAGCAATCTACCCAGCCCATATTTGAAGAAAACTTTTCTTTAAAAAAAATCACATTTGTCAAGCACAAGTACTTGTAAAATAAAATCTGAGTGCATTCATTCCACTTGCTTGCTAATGTGTACTAGTCATATCTGTTAAATGGATTTTTGTAAATTCAAAGAGAATACTTCACTCATTTGAGATCATAGGAATCAAAACCCAGTAACTTTAGTACTATTGTTTCTGAATTCTTTTTTTTTTTTAAATGAGACAAATCTGCATGCATCCATCTGTCACATATAGTGTACATTTCTGTATGATGAATTTCTCTTTGATGTTTCCTGTATAATAGCTTTCATTAATAAACATTTTATTTGATGCAAACATAGTTAACTTTATGTAAACACATAACTAATTGTTCAAACTAATTTAAACTTTTCTTTTGAAAAGAAGCAGTGCAGTGCAGTTCCAATATGTTATATATATCTAAAGTCACAAAGAATGAGGTAGCAATACTGTTGCACAGTGTAAAATTATCTTCTTTGGTGTTAACTTTTTAATTTTTTAACTTCTTGTATAAAACTGACATTTAAAAAAAAATTCCCACCAACATCAACAATAAAACAACCCCTGAATTCTTCATCAATGTAAGAAAACATAAGTAGTACAGTATGTAAAATCCTCAATGACTGTTAGAGTACGAGGATATAATTTGTGGATCCCTGAGCTGTTTACACGGTCACTATGCAATGAGCAAGTATGTTACAAAAAGCTGGTCCTAAGATTCCCAGTCCAAATCACAGATGATTTCTACAAGGCAAGAAGCAAGTGTAACAATAACCAATTCTTAGTAATGAGGTTTTGTAATTTTTAAGCAACTATTTGAAGAAAGATTTTAAAAAATATATTCCTATTTAGCTGTATAGCCAAAGCGTATGTTAAACAAATTAACATATAAAAGACTTGCCAGAAAATCTTTCATTAAGATGACATTTTTATTATATACTAATGAACCCTATGTAAACAATGCAACTTTTATGAATGATGGACATTAAATATTTCACTTACGTGTATCCTCAGCATTTTGCATGTTTTCTTAAACTTCTTCAGTTTCTGAGTTCTAAAAAGAAAACCATACAATTATTAACAACATAACACAAAGTTACGTACAGATTACTGCAGCGACCTCTGGAAACCGGTAACCAAGAGTGTTCTAATGGCAATAAAAAGGTATCATTTATTGGTGGAAATTATGGGAAGCATTGTTTAAACAACAGTTTTATAGTGTGTTGTAAAGTTCTATTGAAAAAGGTTTGCATGGTGGACTTAATTCAAATCAGCTTGATCAGAAATTTAAGTATATTGTGAAATTCTTAAACTGAGCCTTATATGTATTTATTACTGCAGAAAGTAAGTAAATATAAGAAAGGAATTATTCATGTCACAGCCATAATGTGGTTTCCCCCTGTTGTGCGTAGGAAAATATTACAAAAGTTAATTATTCAAATCAGTAAAGAACTTAGTGGTGTTCAGGGCCAAGAAAAAAACTAAAGAACTTAGTGGTGTTCAGGGCCAAGAAAAAAACTATCTACTGTAATTTTTCTTTTGTAAATCACCGCATTCTTTAGTGTGGTGCTTTTTGCACCTGATTTAAATTAGAAAAATAAATTATTAAAAACTCCTGGTGAAGTACTAGCTCCACTGAAGTCAATGTCTAAATCATCACTGGTTAAAGTAAAACCAGGACAACCTTATTTCTCCATGTCTAATCAGAGACATTAAGGTTTGATTTTTCTTAGCAACACTATTCTTTGTCTAGAGGTAGTCCTGCGCATAGTGCTCTGATTGACCTGATTAGCTGCATTAGCCGATTCACATTTTTTGAAAGATAAAGAACTGTTTCCTGCATTAAGAGAGTAAACATGTTGAAAGGGCAGCATTAGATGAGAAAGAAAAAAAAGGAATAATTTCAGGCAAGATTTGAGAGAATGCAAGACCAATCTAGGTTTTCAGGATTGTCACAAGTGAGAAACGTGTTGGAGGTCTTTCTAGCAGATATATATCCACGTCTAGACGCAGCATTTGTTTGCACTCCTGGTCTTGAAAAAGACATCAGATTGTTTGGTCTTACAACATCTTACTCAGAATTACTCCCCAGAATGGCTTGCAGGACCAGGTCAAATGACAGAAGGCTTACACCACAGCCCACTGAAACTGGTGAATATTCTCTCTCTGTTTCTGTGGGCTTTGAGACAGGAGCTGAATGAACATGGAGATTAAATTACTCTCTTGTCTCTAAAGAAAGCATAACCTTCAGAATGAGACAGAATATATAGGACAGCCATGCCGCTTTGTGCTTTAGACTTCAGAGCTGCTAATCCAAGCACCTGGCACATGCATTAAATTGACTTAAAAATATTTCTTCCTCCTTCACCCAAATACAGGACAGAAATCGTACCAGGACATACTGGAATTTCCAGAAGCTACTATAGTGTTGGAGCCTTTATTCAGTTATTCTGCAATGTTGAACAATTCTTCTGTGCTTCTCGCTTGACACAGACTTATCTCGACACATACCTATATACATATCCTTGTCTTGCCTTCAGATAACCAGTACTTTCATATTTATTTAAGTCATTCAAAGCTATAGGAAGCAACTCTCCATGCTTACACATTCCAGTGAAGGCAGTTGTCATAATTTTTGTGTAGATACTCCTCTATAGTAAAACATTTTTCAGAGTAGTTTTTATGTTATGAATTTCTACTTTTGTATCCTTTTTTTCTTTTCATAGCTTTGGACCAAAAAAATGTAGTGCTTGAAACATCTAAGTGTACAGATTATTTTGCTGGCTTTTCCTGCAGTATCTAGAAAAACAAATCTACTCCAATCATTGAATTAATGGCTTGCACGTTACTGTAAGAGTATTCCCTTCCACAAATCGATTTTGTCATAACAAATGATATCAAATATTTTCAATTCTGATTTTAACTAATATGATTAACATTAGAAATGAGAGCTTTTCAGTTGCACTCATTTTTGGCTCAAGTGTGCTTCTGTTTTTGGAAATGGGATTATGAAGGAGCATCCTTTTAAACTTCTGGTATTTGCTACCACTAGGAGCAGAGGGCTTGATGGGAGGTCTGATCTAGCTTGACAAATACAAGTGTTATTTTCCAGTTTGCCCTCTTCTCAAATTGGACTTTAACAGAGGATAAAAATACTATCAATAATTATTTTACTGCTAGAAAATAGAAGTTAGATATCTTTTTCAGATAGCAGTTGTCAGACTGCATATATAAGCAGTCACTGGGAGAGTGTTAGAGAGTTAGTTTTCTATTTATCATCCTATGAATCCTTATTACACCATTTTCCTTGAAGAATTTGGATTTACCTGAGAGTAAACGATCAAGTAGATTGCTGTTGCCACACGCATCTTGATCCCACAACCGAGATGCAATAGAGAACAATCTGTAAAAAGAATTTTTCAGGAATAATTATCTAGCAAAATAACAAAATATTTTCTAATGTCCTAAAATCAGTAAAATAAAATGAAACATCAGGAAAGCTGAGAGCAATGATTACTATTATATTTTAAGACCTAAACATATACAGGCTCATGATTGCTGTTTAATTCCTAGGGAATAATTAACTTTACCAAACAAATACATATCCCATCACAAGGAGGCATGCATGTAGTGTCAGCAGGGACAGTAAGATAAGTTTAGAAAGTACGAAACTTGGCAGCTTAGAGGTGAGTGTTTTTAATCTGTAAAGACACTTGCATAATTATTGCTCAGGCTGCAGCCACGACTGTTAGACAATACCTCTTTTTTTCTTTTCTGCCTGCCCAGCAGAGTATTTTCAGACTATAAGAAAAAGTAGGCTACAGAAAAGAAAGTTAAATGGACACTGTAAAGTACATAAATGGGATTGTGCATCTTTTATGTGCCTGTTAGTACATTTGACATAAAATGCTGCTGTACCAAGGCTCTGAATATCAGTCTTAAAGAAGCTACTGCTTTCTTTCTGCTTTTTTATTTGAAGATGCCTTGCTTCTTGTATATGAGGTTACATAGACAAGCTGTAACTACATTAACTGAAGTAATTTCCTACACCATTTTGTCAAAACTTTTCTTAAACCCTTGGACAGATATGTTTTCTGTGAATCTGTCTGGAGCAAATTAAGAAGTTAGAGCTGCTATTGTTCATTACTGTACAGGACAAGTGCAAGGTCCCACACATGGGTTGGGGCAATCCCAAGCACAAATACAGGCTGGGAGGAGAATGGATTGAGAGCAGCCCTGAAGAGAAGGACTTGGGGGTGTTGGTTAATGAGAAGCTGAACATGACGCAGCAATGTGCGCTTGCAGCCCAGAAAGCCAACCGTGTCCTGGGCTGCATCAAAAGAAGCATGGCCACCAGGTTGAGCGAGTTGATCCTCCCCCTCTAGTCTGCTCTCGTAAGACCTCACCTGCAGTACTGCCTCCAGCTCTGGAGTCCTCAGCACAGGAAGAACATGGACCTGTTGGAGCGGGTCCAGAGGGAGGCCACAAAAATGATCAGAGGAATGGAACACTTCCCCTGTGAGGACAGGCTGAGCGAGTTGGGGTTGTTCAGCCTAGAGAAGAGAGGGCTCCGGGGAGACCTGAGAGCAGCCTTCCACTTAAAGGGGGCTACAGGAGAGATGGGGAGGCACTCTTGATTGGGGGGTGTAGTGACAGGATGAGTGGTAACAGCTTCAAGCTGAAAGAGGGTAGATTTAGATTAAATATCAGGAAGAAATATTTTACTGTGAGGGACCGGAACAGGTTGCCCAAAGAAGCTGTGGATGCCCCATCCCTGGAAGTGTTCTAGATTGTGCTGGATGAGGCTTTGAGCAACCTGGGCTAGTGGAAGGTGTCCCTGCCCATGGCAGGGGGGTTAGAACTCGATGATCTTTAAAGTCCCTTCCAACCCAAACCATTCTATGATTATGAACTATTAGAAATAGTTTATCTGCCCAGGAATGCTTTCTACAGTCAGCAGTGTTAGAATTGTCCCCAGTGAGTCCATTTCTTCTGCTATTTAACCCGTAACAGGGCACTAACACGACACTAAATACATAGTAATCACTGGTTCAAAACACGAATTTTAAACCACTGTTGTTCTTGTGGTTGGCCCCAAATTAAGAAGCTCTCCAAATCACAATTTACCACTAAAACAGTAGCATTAGAAGACTATATGACTTAGAGTGCTCACCTATTTTATAAATAACATCCAGATCCTGAGATCTTTTTGCCCTATTGTATTATAACAGCAACAGACTAAAACTGGAGAACTCAAAAGTTTGGTTGTGACCTTGAACCTATTTAAACTGTCTAAATTCAACATATTTCCAGAATGGACTGTTGAATTGTGGTGAAATCTGGAGCTTTTTGATGAAATTTCCTTGATTTCCTCATTTGTATCTGTCCGAAACAGAAAAAATAGGCTTTTAATGGGCTTCCTGGTCTTTAGCAAAACTGAAAAATGAAGTAATACATAACATCGGTAAAAAACCAATTTTACAGAACTTAGATTCAGTTCAGAACAGTTAAAAAAATGTCCATAGGTTTTTTTTTTGTTGTTGTTCATTTGTTTTTAGACAAGAAAAGTAACAGGGAAAACGATTTTTTGGAAACACGCTCTCCAGTAACTAATTTTCAAAGGCCTTACTCTTCAGCCTCTGAAGAATTTTGCCATTAAATTAAATAACATTTCATTACCAAAACATCTTACTTCAAGCAGGCTAAATCCTCCAGTTTCTTCTGCTACTTTTTGTTTTGTCAGAATCTTTGAATATTTGTTTTTCCTCTGAGTCATTGTTGCCGGTGTAAAGCCAGTCCACGTAAGATGGCACAGGCAGTCTTACCAGCCCAGCGTGAATTTAGTTATGAGATCCTTCACCAGGTATAAATCCTAGAGCTGAACATATGTTACTCCCAGCTGCTTTCCTCAGGCAGCTTTTATTCCTTTTATTAATTGTTGGGCCTACGTGGCACCAGCCAACAGGCCTGTCAGGCCGAGAGCACTAGCAGGCCTTGACCAGCCCCC